ATTTCGTATCACTTAACATTCTGCTCGCATATGCCACAGGTTTATCGTTTCCTATTGTACCTTGTGACAATACGGCTCCTATTGCAAAATTTGATGAATCGGTGTTTAAAATGAATGGTTTGTCAAAGTCTGGATACTGTAATAGGGGTGCATTGGTTAACAATTTTCACATGTTTCAAAGCTTTGTATGTATTCATCATTAATTATTATTTTACAGTTCTTTTTGCAATAAGTTGTAAGCGGTTTCGTAATTTTAGCGAAATCTTTTATAAACTCCTTATAGTAGCCTACAAGACCTAAGAAACTCCTTTATTCTGTTAGAGTTTGTGGTAGAGGATATTTTAATATTGCTTCAATTATATTTTTGTTGGGTTTCAATCCTTCAATTGTTATAGTGTGCCCTAGATATAATACTTCTTTCCTAAGAAAATAAGACTTATCAAGTTGGACTTTAAGGTTAGATTTTCTGAATCTTTCGAATACGGCTTTGAGGTTTTCTACATGTTCCGGTAGGCTTTTTTGAGAAGATTATAACGTCATCTAAATATACTAGGCAATGTAAGTCTTGTAACCCTCGTAGCACGTTATCAATTGCTCTTTGAAAAGTAGCAGGAGCTGTCTTTAAACCGAAGGGCATCCTATTGAATTCAAAGTGACGAAAGGGTGTGCTGAAGGCTGTTTTCGGTTTGTCATCCTTTTCTACTTCTATCTGGTAGTAACCAGAAGCTAAATCTAAGGTAGTAAAATATAAGCTCTTTCCTAGCATGTCAAATAAATCGTTAATATTAGGGAGTGGGTATTTGTCATCTGTAGTTATGTTATTTAGTCGCCTATAATCAACTACCATTCTCAATTTTGTATGCCCGATGCATCTATTTTTTTTTGGAACTAAGTGCACCGGTGCACTCCACGGAGAATGAGACTCCTTCATAATATTATCTCGCAACATTTTCTCTACTTTTTCGCTTTATTTTGTTAGTTTGTGCAGGTGATAATCTATGGGCTTTCGTATTAATAGGGTCCTCATTCTTCGTCCTAATCTTATGCTTAACGTCGTTTGTAAAATACAGCGGTATGTTTTCACAATAGAATATATCCTTATATTCCCTACACAATTAACCTATTACCGATTTTTTCCTCTTCGTTCACGTGCTCTAGTTTTAATTTATTTAAGTTTTCCTCAAGTAATATATCTAAATTATTATTTTTACTTTCTGTAAAATTCAAGTTATTGTTATATGTGTCATGAAAAATCTCAACTTTAAATGGTGACGTGACCACTAATTTTTGTTCGCTGTCTGTGCTGTTTTGTATAACTGTGGTTGCAAAACCATCTTTGCAATTTACTATCGCGTCAGGCACGTACGTGTACGTAATTTAATATAGCTTCACAATTTAATAAGTTGACTGGTAATTTAACTCTTAATTCGCAGCGTGGTGGCAGATTATATGTCTCTCTCATTGGCGGTGAGTAAATAATTGGGATATTAGTATTATTTGTATATAAAGTGAGGTTTTTCATGTCAATGGTAGCGTCAAGCAATTTTAAGAGATGACTACCCATTAACCCACCGTACCTATCGTCTACACTATATACATAAAACTTGTGTTTTTGTGGACTATGAAAGATACTCGGTAACTTTGCGTAGACAACTTCTCCGTGTTTACTGGCAGCGTGAGTACTAATAACCTCAAACATTTCTAAGTGTACTGAATCGCTATAATATTTTTTTTGCTAGTTCTGGACTAGTAAATAACCTAGTATTACCAGTGTCTATCATAAAGACAGCTTTTAGTTCAGGTATACGGATATGTGGTAAATTTAAAAGTTTCGTACAATTAATTTTTATTTTATTGGTCTCGTCAAGGCTAATATGTGAAAATTTTCGATTTCAGCCAAATCCGAATTATTATACTGATTTGATGCAATACATTGCTGTGAATTGCAAGGTTGATTTATTTCGCTATTGGTATAGTTTATTCTCCTTGAGTTAGCAGTTTGCATTGTTACATCGGTGTTCGAAATTGACGCCACAGGTGGCGATTGATATTGCGTTAGACGTTGAGTATGCGCAGGGACAATGTTCGCGAAATACTGATTACGCTGTATCGGGCCCGGCGCCTGGGGTACTGGTGACCTAGTGGTCGATTGTTGTTGATAATTATTGCGATGGCTATTGTTACGGTTGTTATTTTGCCTAAATTGGGATGAATTATTTGACGAGTTAAAAGAGCGGTTATTATTAACGTAGGGTGACAAATTGTTCTGATTATTAAATGTAGATTGCTCCGTATGGGGAACATTTCTAGGTGAATAAGTGTGATTATTGTTAGGACTCGGCCTAAAGTTTGTTCCATTAGACCGTGAATTTTTACTTTCATAAACTGACTGAAAGTTTTGTTCTTCTAAGACAATTTTCAAAGCGTCTTCTAGAGTAGTCACGTTCCGTAATCTCACAAGTCTAACTAAATATGCCGGTAAATTATAAAGAAACGCATTTAGTAAACTATGGTTATAAATTGTTTTGCTAGACGTAAGTTCGGATCGTCAATCGTTTCGCTAACCTTAGAAAATAAGAGAATTCTCAAATGTTGTATCCAGTGAAAAAATTATTATTATTATTATTATGGGGTATCTATATAGTTTTCTCATCTGGTTGGGTTCTATAAATATATAATTATAAATGAAAATGAAAAAAATAAATATACATAAATATCAATAACATAAAATAAATATAAAAGTACATAAATAAATAAAAGCCCAACCAGATGGAGGCCCTCGGCAGGGGAGACCAAACGGCCGAGGGTTAGGGGGATATTATTATTATTATTATGTGTGGGGTATCTATATAGTTTTCTCATCTAGTTGGGATGTATAAATATATAATTATAAACGAAAATGAAAGGATAAACATACATAAATATGAATAAAATAAAATAAATACAAAAATACATAAATAAATAAAAGCCCAACCAGATGGAAGCCCTCGGCAGGGGAGACCAAACGGCCAAGGGTTAGGAAGAAAGGGAAAGAAACCGGCGGACGATGCGGGCAGTATCAAGGAGCACCGCCTTCTGCATTTGAGCCCGGAGCGGTCCGTCACGGAGTTCCAGTCGCCTCAGATGACCAGAGAGGCTAACTGGGATTAGCCCATTCGCAGAGACGACTACAGGAATAATTTCGGCCGGCAGACCACCCCACATGTCCGTCACCTCGTGAGCCAGGTCCAGATATTTTGATTGCTTATCTGTTTCGGCTCTCACGAGGTTCTCGTCATACGGGATGGTAATATCGACCAAAAATATCCTTGACTGTGCCCGGTCCATCAGCACAATATCAGGCTTATTCGCAAGAATAGTCCTGTCTGTGATGATGGCCCGGTCCCAGTAGAGTCTGGCGCGGTCATTTTCGAGCACGGCTTCCGGCAAGTACTTGTAATACGGCAATTTCCGGTCCACGAGACCGTATTTCAGCGCGAGCTCCTGGTGTAGAATTCTGGCTACTAGGTTGTGCCTGTGCAAGTACTCAGAGTTAGAAAGCGCCGGAACAACCGGAGATGACATGCCTAAGTGACTCCCCGGGATATCGACAAGCTCGATAGACGTCGACGGTGCCATCCTTTAGGATGTATCTCCGATAGTTGTTGGTCTTAATAACCTGATCCTGTATTGCACAGACAAAACCCTCGGTTTCCCCGAAGAGGTCACCGAAACGTAGCCAGTTGAAGGAGGCGACTGTATCTACGAAGGGCTCATGTAGAGCCTTGTAGTACCTCCCGTGGAGCTCCTTCTCCTTCCATACGGTCTCCCGGTCGGAATTGCTAAGCACTGCTGGGTCCTGCCATTGCTCGTTGGCTAAGGATAGAGGGGTAAGCCCTTTATCACTAGAAATGACGTCATTATAGAATGGATCATCCGATCTCGCCAAGAAGTACTGACGGAGACTGCACACTTCGTGATAATGCATGGTGAGCGCGCTCAGAAAGCCACGCCCACCATACTTTCGCGGCAAGTACAGCCTCATTACCGACGATCTCGGATGATGCATCCTATGAGACGTCATGGTAGTGCGGACTTTTCTATCCAGGGCGTTAAGCTCAGTCTGAGTCCACCTGAGTATGCCAAAGGTATAGATGAGGACAGGCATGATCCAGCCGTTATATGCGTGTGTCTTATTCACACCGGACAAAAGTCTGTTAAGCACTTTGGTCAAGCGTGCATAAAACACGTCGCAAACTGACTGTTTCATACCAGCCTCATCGATACCGATGTTCTGTGACATACCCAGGTATCGGTATGTTTCAGCCTCGGAAAGAGTCCTTAAGTTGACGGGCATAGACAAGTCTATGCCCTCAGAGTTAGCAACCCTTCCCCTTTCAACATGGAGGACCGCACACTTATCCGTCCCCAGCTCCATTCCAATGGAACTGCTAAATTCACAAGTGATGTTTAGCAGTTCCATAAGATGGGAGCGACTGGAGGCGAATAACTTGAGGTCATCCATATAGAAAAGGTGGGTCACTTTTGTCCCTCCTCTCCGTAGCTGAAATCCCCTCCCGGAGCCCTCCAGTAAGGTACTGAGAGGGTTAAGAGAGAGGCAGAACCAGATTGGACTCAGACAATCGCCCTGGAAGATACCCCTTCTTATCCTTATGTGGTTCTCCGCAGCCGTCATCCGCTCGCCCAGATGACAAAGGATCGTACTCCACTGCCCCATACACTGCTCGAGGAAGTCTCTAACTGTACAGTCAATCTTGTACAGCTCGAGGACCCTCTTTAGCCATGTATGGGGCACCGAGTCGAACGCCTTTCTGTAGTCTATCCAGGCGGCAGAGAAGTTCCGACGGTTGCGTTTCCCCACTTTGCCTATGACCGCGTCAATGAGGAGTGGTTCCTTAGTTCCACGACCACCGCCCCGACATCCATTTTGAGCGCGTGACATCACCTGGTTTAGCTCCAGGTGACGAGTGATTCTCGCGCTCAAAATGGATGTCAGTGTCTTATATATTGTCGGTAGACACGTGATGATGGTAGACACGTGGTGATTTGCTCAAGTCTGTGGTATCTTGATCTTTAGGAACCAAGTGAGTGATCCCAGTAGTGAAGAGGCTCGGGAGTGACTTCTGTTCGAGAGCCTCTTGAAACTGTCGGGCGAGCACAGCGTGACACACTACGAACCCCTTCAGCCAGTAATGATGCAGCCCGTCGAGCCCCGGACTTTTCCAGTTCGGGGCCCTACGGACCGCCTCAGCCACGTCTTCTGGCGTTATGGTGATGGGGTCCATAGGCGAAACACTCGCACCCTGGCTCGCCACAACTTCCATCCAAGGGCCCTCACTGTGGTTTACGGGCTCTGACCACAGGCCACGCCAGAATGCGATAATGTCAGCCTGATCCGGTCCTTGGCCCGCTACACATACCTTTGGTCGCTCCAATAATTTATAGAGCCTCTTCTGATCACTCTGGAAGAGACGATTCTGGTTGAACCGCCTTGACCCCTCGGAAAATCGTCGAATCCGCTTCCCCCAAGCAGCGATCTTTTGCTTCGGGTCGTCTATGCGCTCCGTTAGTTTCTGCGTGATATCCGGCTGGGAGAAACTGATATTTGTCCCAGCAAACGCCATCCTAACGGTGCGCATAATCCTCGGTCTATTATTACCCGACCTGAAGCTTGTCAGTCTGCCGATAAGGGCCCTTGCCTTTGCGATACGGTCCTCGATTCTTTTCCTCCATTCTGGGATGGCGTTACTTTTTGTGGTAGCGCGTCCAGCCAGGGAAGTTTGGCGCCAATAATACGGCAAACTGCCACTGCGGCGACAAAGAGAATCGAGTCCGTCTCGCAAAAGTCCCGGCTGGCTTCCAAATAGGTCACCAGCATTGGGTTAAGAGCCCTCACGACAGCCCGATTTCGCTTGCTTAAGGGTATGCGGGGAAGTCGCGGTCGATTTTCGAGAGGGGGTGCCGCGCGTTTCCAAAATCGCCTCTTCCAATATACTCCTCATTTGCTCTAGTTCGTGGGAGACTATTTCATCGTCGTTCGAATCAACCACAACTGGAAGATCCATGGCGGCTTCCACGTGTGGATGCTGGTCTGTCGAATGTGGAGCTGCATCTCCAGCCATAGCCGATTCATTCGAAGACGGAATAGCCTCACGTCGTAGTCGTTCGAGTTCGGCATCATCAAATATTTTCGAGCGCATGATATACCGAACTCGGTCTGCCAGGTTTTGTTCCGTGACGGGGATAGACGGCTCCAGCTCAGCAAAAAAGCAATGCATCCGAGACCTATACGCTATTCCCACAGTTTCTTCCCCTTTCGCCCTATAGTACGCCCGCAATGCGTTTTCGTTCATGGATTTTGTCCAACGCATGCGACGTGCTCCACCAGCGGCGGGTGCCGCTTGCTGGGTCCGAGAAGACCAAGCCGACACCAAGCCTTCTGGTGGGGATGATGGATGCGAGGGGCTGCTTGGTGATCGTGCAGCTCCTCGCGCTCGGCTGGCAGCCCGCATGCTGCCGCGTCCAGCGCCAGCTTCAGATGCGCCCCGGCGTCCCCCAGGCAGCGGCCCTATGCGCGTTCCTTTTTGTGTTTCTTCCATCATCCATTTTATGGGCGCCAAATAACGGGAGACGCCCAAGCCCAGCACCGTTTCGTGGTTGGGTCATATGCACAAACGGACCTTTGCATCTACAATTTTGCCTAGGCATGGCGCTCACACCTC